GGAAAACTTCCTACATACAAGGATAGAACAGCATAGGAACAAGTCAGAAAGACTGGGATCTCCCTCATTGTAAGTTTTTAAGGGAAAAAACAGACAAAAATCTGTTGTGGATGGTCCAAGAATACTTACCTTGCCTCAACACAGTAAAATGAACCAGATGACCTCCCAGCCCTACATTTCTATTTGTACATTAAAATGGAAGTAAGTTTTATTATCTGCATGTGTTTAGCCTGCTTGTGTCAGGAAAAATCAACAGATGACATTTCTGCTCATTACAGTCTTAATCAGGCTTTTGATATCTCTCTTCTTCCCAAAGACCAGAGGCAGTACAGAAGCTGGTCTGTGATACATAATTCTCTGGCATACAAAGCATGACACCTGCAACACCAAGCACTGCACATCCTCTGCTGGGGAACAAAAGTAAAGCTACACGGAAGGCAATGAGAATGAGCCAATCCAAACCTAAAAAGGGAACGGATATCAAATTGGGTAATCACAGAGAATGCAATTCCACCAGTCACATGTCCCATTAAAACTCATTTTTGGTTTTTTTCACAGCCAACTCGCAATACGAGATGTCTAGTAAAATATATAATACAGAGAAATAAGGATGGGGTTGTGATTTCTGACGACTGCCACAGCAGTAAGAAGGAAATGAGGTAGAAGCAGGGCTAATTCCCCTTATATAATTTCACACAGAATGATTAGTTCTGCCCCAATAGTAACAACTTTCCAGAGGCTCCTGACTTGTCGTCAAGATTAAATGCACATGTTGTAAGCGCAGTTTCTCTATTCTCTACTGACAAACTATTCCAAGGAGAACATATCATTATTATTTTACTATAGAATTAAATGCACTGTTTGAACAGCAATGCGAGGTCAGCATCACCATGGAATCAAGCTGGCTGGATTAAGACTTTTAAAAAAATGTGTGGCACAGTTACATATTTTTAAGAAGTCACACCCTATAACAAGAGGATGCACAGTGATCACCCTAAGTGTTCTAGCAATGTTCCACAACGCCCAAGCTCAGCATATGGAAGACACAGATTCACATGTTGAAAACTTTTATTAAAAAAACGCAAGTTTTCAGTCACCTGTGCACTGAATGTCCCCTTTAAAACTGATTAGTAAGGACATTCCACACACACCACTGTACTGCTAAGAGATGTATTTATTTATTATTTTTAAGTTTGGTCATTTTAGGTCAAAATACCCATTACTGGTAATTTATTTGAATGAAATCAACTGAAAAATAATAGTTTAAAACAAGTCTTCAAATAGTAGACACCCTACACTGTCAAAACTACAAGTTTCTGACAAATTTTTAAACCTATTGGTACTTTTGTAAGATTTGATAGCATTTTCAGCACAATTCCTTTATGATACACTATTGAAAAATATCAGATTCACTTCCAAAAAAAATCCTTATTTCCTCAAAAACAACATATTTTTAATACAGTAAATAATTCCCTAAGGAAAATTTTACTAGCTAAGACCCTAATTTCTTAAAGATCAACATGATTTCCTGGAACAGCATTCCAAATATTACCTATTGTAATAGCTTTTAAAAATTCAACTACCTCCTCTAACTTTGTCCATTTTGTATTTAAGCATTTAACATGACCATTTCTTTAACAAAAGGCTTATAGATTAGATAAAAGGAAAGGTAACAGTTTTAGGCACAAAAGAGACTTATTTTTTATGTCTTGCCTGAAATAATGAGTAAACAGTCCAATATAATCTTACAGTCATGTCCATAAATCTTGCTTTTACATTTAAATCACAAGCAAAAAGTAAACAGACTTCATGACAAGAAAAGCATATTTCTTTTAAGAAAGTTTTCTTATCATAAGATCAAGACAAGAAATTATTCTTGTAATACTAAACGATCATGTTATTGTTTATTTGGAGAACTCCAATTTACCTCAAGCTATATGCAAGGTTATAACCATAAGTTTACTATATTAAGTTGCTGTCCAGTAGGGAGCCAAGGTCAAAGGAAAAAGTTTTTGAAACTCTGTGTTTGACTTAATTCCTTAACTTTAGAATTCACAAAATACCCTTTTCTTTATACTTGAGGGTGAGAGTATTTATTGATAAACCTAATAAAATACACAAACACTGATATCAAAAACATACCTCCTCACAGCTTGTTAGAACAGATAAAGATATGGACCACAGTCCCTTGTGAAAAAAAAGCATATATAATGCTTTAAAAATAAAAATTTAGATCAGAAATCTCTTGTTCAGTATATAGAAAGTAAATTATCTCCCTGTTTAAATCGCTATACAGTGCAGACCTCATTCTCATTTTACATGTGTTGCTAAAACTCCACTTACTTCACTACTCTGAGAAAAAAGTCAGTGTGTTCTCAACAACTATACAATCTGAAAGTGAATTCAAAACTTCTCAGCATAGGTCTAAAAGAAAATAATCTGATCAGCTGAGAGAGCAAGATTCAAAGGGCTGAAAAATGTTGGGGAAAAGATGGAATCTTTTTTCTTTGAAACCAACTCTAGAAGAACCCTCATTTTTCTTTCTCCAACTGTTCTTCATCCAGCTTTCTCTTGATTGTGACATACAAATGTCTTTATAATAGTATCTTAGTCTGAATATTCTATTTGCACACGTTTCTGCGCTCTGCATACTACACACATCCCTACAAGCATGCATAAAGATTTGATATTTTGAAACCCTTAAAAGTGTCATTGAACTTCAACACACAACTGTATAGCAACTCCATTTCTATTGAATGCACTTGCATTAAAGCCCCAGAGGTCTCCAGTTACTTTTGAAATGGAGAAGTCTTTCTTCATCTCTTTATACTGAATAAAATAATGAATATCAACAGTTGTATCCTCATCTTTCATCCCTATCTATCTGATCATTCAAGTCTACTAACATGAACAACATCTATCATGCAATAACAATCCAGTAAATCTTCCTTCCATGAAGAGAATGAATAGCCTAGGGCACTGATATTTTTCACCTCTGGGTCACAAGTTTGAATCCAGCTGTAGTTAGTAGTGAACGGAAGTTATTACCAAATGATGGCTTTTCAGTAGCGGATGTGAAATGAGTCTGCACACTCTAGTTTGTAGCACACAGTTTCCTTAAGGATTTATAATTACCAACATTTCAATTAGTCCTTTTATTATCAGCCCCAGAAGGATGACCATGTTGTTGAACAGATGTGGAACCTGAACTCCTAGAGGACAAAACCGGAATAAAGTTCAGAAGCTAAGACCGCCACTGGTAATGCTACAGATATCTTACACATACAATACTTAAAATCTTCAGTGCTATTAAGCTGGGCCTGTTTTAAAATCTTCCTCCCACAGAGCTTTGAAGACCTGTAGAGCCCTGTTTTCCAGGCTTAACATTAATGCACTGACATGGTCTCTCTCATTTTTAAGATTACCTTTAGCAAAATTTATTAAATTAAAATTTAAAAATTGTTTATCACTGCTTATTATATTGTTTATATATTATTGCATCTATAATGCTGATAACACTTTAGTCAACCACACTTTTCACCTATTGACAACGTTATCATGGTAGTAATCTCACACCCTACAGTCATGCATGGTCCTCCTGCCTCTCAACCGTGTGGAATACTGCTTTCTGGGCACAAACTAAACAATGCAGGGCCTGAACGCATTTATTTTATTTTTTTTACAAGTACTGTATTTAATCTCTCAATTTAACTGGTTTATACTATTTCATCCTTTGTCTGAACATCACAGAAGTAGAAAGCAGAATAGTAGCAGAAATATTGTAGTGCAGGCTTCCCTATTTGTCATTTTTAATGGTAAAAAGTTTGATTTCTTGCCTGTAGAAAAATGTGAGAGTCAACAGTAAAACACCTATACATGTATACACACATATTGTATATATATGTTTTATACACACACACACACACACACAATGGGCCAGAATTTGGGATAATAGGTTATATGGATATGTGGTTTTCGGATTTACAGAAATCTATGTAAATCTGTTTGGAGCTTCACACATTTATTTTTACTTTCACATCTGATGTGCAGCAATATGAATAGCTAAGGTGTATGCTTAAGACACACACTTTGAGATTTATCTATTCAGAAGTGATGTTAACACTGGGGTGTGTGTTCTTATAGCAGTAAAGCTGTGCATTATCACTGCTAACTGCATAACTGCATTACCTAGTAATGCCTAAGGTGGGGAGAATCTCAGAAATCCCTTGTTAAAAATTGTGCCCCCAAGGATTAGGATGATTTCCCCGACTTCTTACAGATTTGGAACAAGGCATTTACTACAAGGAGGCAAAACATAAGAATCTCTTATTAAAATAATGGTGCAATAACATTTAAGGTCGAAAAGATTCTGCAGGAATTTATATGAAACATACTACCTCTCTCACCATGTAAATGTTCATAAGAAAGGTATGTTCCTTCTGTACCTCACAGGCAATTGACGCTCCAACTAACGCAGAAGCAGAGTAAGTTATTTCTTCTTGACTCTTTTATCAGAAAGATCTCAGGCCACTGTGGACCTAAGTTTCCTCTTAGATATCAATAGTACAAAAACCAATGAGAAAAAATCCTGAACACTGAATACTCACTTGGCCATCAATTGTTGCAGGAAAATGTCCACTGCTGGTATACATGTCATGGCCCATTAAGCTGGCCAGTACTACCTCACTGTTTCCTTGTACTTTCCTAATCTGTTTACCTGCCTAATGTCTTTTCACCACAACTTAACTCCATTTCTGCTTCCCCTATCATCTTCTCCCCTGCTCTGTTCTCCTCAATCCCCCTCTCTTCCATTTGTCTTTCTTTTTTGCTTAACCCTTTCCCATACTCCACCCAAAAAGCATATGGAGCTAACATGGTGTATGCTACTGTCACAGTGTTCACCCAGGTTGTTATAGCTTTCCCCCACCACAAGCGTAGCCTGGATCAGTGACTATCTAGCACTCTGTTTATGCAGTGCCTACTACAACAGGGCCTCTGACCTTCCAGCAGTGAACAATAAGATAATCAACGTCTTGTCTTCTGCTCAGATTGCAAGTTCTTTGATTCCAGGGATTCACCTTTTTGTACCAGGCTTGTATAACACAATGAGGTTCTGGAGCTAGACCACAAGTAGGGCTCCTAGATGCTTTGGTAATCTAAACAATAAATAACAACAGCATTCAGTTCATCTTTAGTCAGCGGAAAGGGACTGATATTGGCAAATCATTAGAAAGATTTTTTTTTTGGATCAGGACACTATTTCAATAAGGATGATCCTCGTCTCTTCACACATTGTGGGATATCAAACTGCCCATCTGAATTTGTCGCCGCGTCCCTTATCACAAAACAGATTTACAGCACCTAGATAATAAAAACCTCAAGACATAGGACGTTACGTGCTCTCTGCACCGATGTCTTTCGCTGTCTGGTCTCCAAAGAAAAAAGGAACATTAAAAGGTAGGAGAAAGTAAGAAGAATCCATTCCACTTCAGGTCTTGAAAGCTCTAATTAAAATTCAATATTGTACTTTGTATGTGGGTTCCTACATGAAACTCCTGTCATGGTTAAGACTTAAGGTTAAGCAGGTTAATAGAGTCCAATAAAATAGCTCTATTGAATTATGCCAAACCATTGTCCTACACCCGACTGCAATCTGCCGCTCATCTTTACCTGACGGGCGCACTAAGTTTCCAACCAAGGTAACGTATGGCTACAACCCCCCACAAAAAAATAAATAAATAAAATTCCCACAAAAAATCAGCATCTCCTCTGTCTCCAACCCCCCCACTTTCCTCCTTCCCTGGAAAAAAAACAGCCTGTTATTTACAGCTCAAATCATTTCTTTCCTCCAGCCTGCTACTCCAATCATCGCACAGTCATGTGCTAAAAGATTTGTGCAGACCTGCCAAGACTCATTCTCCTGAGCCGCGCTCCCCTCGAGTCCGCGGCGCTTTCCAACTCGCCGCCCTTCGCGTGGACGGGTTTCACGCCCGGCCTGTGGGACTCGGCCCCGCATGCTATGCATTTGGGGCGCAGCAAACCCAACCCCCCTGGCCTGGCCCGGCCCTCCTCTCGGGGCAGCGACCTTCCCGCGTGGCCCTCACCCCCGTGACCCCGGGGGGCTGCGGGCACCGCTCCCAGGCGCTTCGCAGCCCTGTTACGAAGCAGCAGACCAGGCAGCCTGTGTTTTGTTTTGTGTTTTTATTCAAAGCTACTCCTTCGTGGCGGGGAGACTCGCGCCCAGCCCCTGCGGCCCTGCCCCGCTGCTGAGGACAGGCCGAGGCCAAGCTGCCCCCCCGTGTCCCCGCGACCGGCAGGTGCCGGGAGCCATGTTAGCT